GCCTGACAACCTGAGTTAGATCCCAGACCTGCACAAACACCAAGGAGAGAACCAAGTCCAGAAGGCTGTTCTCTGACCTCTACACATGTGGATGTGCAAGTGTGCCCCTCCACACCCACACAAATAACAGCTAAAGCATTTTAAAGGCAGAACATGCACCTTGGTAGCAAAAGAAGACAACAGCACCTTCACAAAGAGGTTTCGGTGATGAACTTACTCCAAGAGAGCTTTGGGGTTTTAGCTTGAAGAACTTTAATTCTCATCAGCTGCCACCACATCTTTAGCCAAAGCCACTTTCAAACACACAACACTCAATGTATTACTGGGATTGGGTGTCGCATGGGTTTTAGGAGGAAAACAATATGGAGCAGCAACAGAGAAGGGAACTGAGATTGAAAACAGCTTCAGAGAGTGGGAGGCACCATTAGGGAAGTGTGAGTACAGAGGAATGCTGGGGAAAAAAAGGCAACCAGAAGCCCAGGGAGAGAAGTCAGAGGAAGCCAGGGAGACCTAAGCTGTACACATCTGCAGCACTGCTGCCCTTCTCTTCTGCAAGAGAAGTAATTCTTCTTCTTCTTCTTCTTCTTCTTCTTCTTCTTCTTCTTCTTCTTCTTCTTCTTCTTCTTCTTCTTCTTCTTCTTCTGCTGCTGCTGCTCCTCCTCCTCCTCCTCCCCTTCCTCCTCCTCTTTTGTTTTCTTTTGTTTGTTCATTTGTTTGCTTGTTTCCAAGCAGCTTTCCAAGGATTTCTCTGCAGCTTTGGAGCCTCTCCTGGAACTCACTCTGAAGACCAGGCTGGCCTTGAACTCAGAGGTCCACCTGCCTCTGCGTCCCTAGTGCTGGGATTAAAGGCATGCGCCACCACTGCCAAACTGCAAGAGGAATTCTTTAGGCACTTATATTACACATTTTTGTGTTTTTGTTTTTGTTTTTGTTTTTGTTTTTGTTTTTGTTTTCTGTCAGTGAAACATATTTGTCACATAAGGAACTTGTAAGTCAAGTTGAGTTAGGAAAGAATAGATGTATTAATAGAAGTACTGTGACAATAGAATTAGATGCTACAGCAGATGCTCCTGCAGAGTTCAGGTTTTACATTCATTCCTGTTGCCTCAAAAGAACTCCTCGGGAACCCAGAAAACAAAAATAAAGCCTAAATGCAATATATACATTGATAATTATTTTCAAAACCTCAGTAACTATTCAGTGTTTTTCCCATGTGGAAACTAATTTATCATTGCAGACTGGATAGGTATTATCTGGAGTAGAAAATATGTATTTTGCTTCCCTTCCTTATGTTATGACACTTCTAGATGCTTGGGTTTCCTTTTCTCTAGCTCCTGTCCTTCCCACTGGCAGTCAGCTGTCATGTCTCTGGGTTGTTTATGCACAAATCTTTTTCTGATTACATTTTTACAAGTGAACATTTTAATGGTTATGGCTCCAAAAAAAAAAAAAAAAAAAAGACCTGCATCTTATAGAACTGGAAAGTGATAAGAAAAATTGGCTGTCACCCAGCTTGAAACACTATTTGGCTTTTTTGATGTGTAACTAGGAAAGAACACCATTTTTTTTTTTTTTTTGCTCTATAAAGTTAAAACTCTCTATTTCCTGTTTTTCTGTAGTTCCTCATGAAATCATGCTCTGAAAAGGTAAGCTTAGGAAGACTGAGTTTAAACTTGTTTGGATTTCTTCGCTCCAGGTTCACTTCGGCCTCAAATTTAGGGTAAGCTGAGGTAAATGTACGTGCCCAGAGAAGCCCAAGAAACTAGGATTTCCTAAATGTGAGTTTCTGTGATTCAAACCCAAAGGAATTAATCATCACAATAAACAAAAGAGCAAGGAAGGATGGAGCTCCTCCAGCCATCAAATCCTGTTGCACTTTGTTCCCCAAATGAGTGCCTGTTTCTCTTGTATGCATCTGCTTACCTGGCACCAAGAAAGAACAAATTCTGCCAGTGATTACATTCAGTCTCTTTCAGGGGACCCTCTGGTTTATGAGAAAACAAGTCGTAATTTTAAATTATCCTACAGATTTCCTAAGGCTGGAAAATTGCCTTAGAAATCTGAAAATCATTTGGGTCTCTTTAACAGTCAAGAAGTGATGACTCACACTAGCTCACACTACAAAACCACTGAGGGGGTTGAAAGAGACTACACCAAAATATGGCCTCTTGTCACTTGAGACAATGGTAGACTTTGGATGGTCATCTCAACTTCCAACTTGCCTTTTCCCCACTTTCTGAGAAGCAGGTCATGCAGATATATCTGACATGGCATGAAATAGGTCAAAAAGATCCCCATTCTAGAGGGGTCCTCCCTAGCCTGGGGAAAGGGTCATCCCACTCCAGGAAGGCAGAGGGACACAGAAGGATCTGAATCATCTTGCTTGCTGAATCTCTCAGTTTACTGGCATTCCAGAAATCACACACCCTTGCTGATGTCACTCCTGCATGACCACCTCACAGAGCATACAAATGTTTCTCTGTATCTTCAGCTCTCCATCTGAGTCTTCGTGAGAAGGCTGATATCCTTGTACCAAACATATTATATAAACTCTTAGGAGTTTTTGTTTGTTTTTTTTAAACACTTCTTGTCATGGGGTCTCAGCTACTACATATCAATGAGAGAGAGAGATAGTGATTTTTGTCTTCTGCACTGCCATTCTGGTCAGTGGTACCCAACCTACATCAGCTGATCAGAAGGAAGCCTTGAATACAACTGTTATTGTTAGTTTCTGCAGCCACAGCAGCATCTTGCCTCTGCCACCAAAGCAGTCACACCATCATCTGTCGACAGGTGCCTTTCCAACGTCAGCTATGCTACACATGCACCCTTTAAGAGTGCCCACCAGGCACAGCTCGAATCTTTACTTCTTTAGTCGCTTGTCTCTCTTGCCTCTTTTTTTCCTCTCTTGCCTCTCTTCTTCCTCCTGTCTATCTGCCTTTCTCAAGTCCCCACTCCTAAAAGGCCTTTCACTCTCCCTCTCTCCCAATAACTCTTGCACTAACTCTGTTGCCTGTGGCATGTTTGCTTAGTAGTATACCTTGTCAGGGCCCTCCAAAAGGTACCCACTATCGCTTTCTTTTTATTTATCCTTTCAGTTAGTCCCTGACCTTCTTTGCCAAATGGTGGGAATATAGTCACTTATATAACTTACTCTGTGTATAAAACACTTGAAAATAATGTTATTTAAATGATACAAATTTCATATAGTTTACCCTAATACTTTAAATCTATAGAATCTCAGATCCCATATGAGCTTCAAGGATTATCAAGTCTTATCCTAATTTCAATTATCAAGAAAAAACAGGGTAAATTTCAGCTGTAGACCACATGTTTGGCTTATTTGAGGCTCCAGGTTCAACCACCAAAGAAAGGAAGAGAGGGAGGAAGGGAGGAAAACAACCAATCAGATTTGGTTTTTATAAAATCCTTTATGAGGCTAAACATAGCAACGAGTTTGCCAGAGCATTCAGGTAGTACCTGGGAAGAGAAAAGTAAGTAAAACCTAGACTACAACCTCAAGAAATGCAGACTTCTTTTAAAAAGACAGAAACATTAAATAAAATGTGATGGCAGTGTGACACATGGATGGCACAGAGGAGGTGCCACTTACTGAATGCGTCAAGGAAATATACCACAAGTGAAGATTTCTCATCAGAGTCCTGATGGATGAGTAGGAGTTCGCCAATTAAGCAAACAGGAACAGGTACATCTCAGAAGGAGAAAATAAGCCGTGAGGGACTGGCTGTGATGAACACAGAGGACATGTGCAGGGTACTGGTGGGAAATGATACCGTGGGAAGCAGGGAAGTGTCAAGTTAGGGAAAACTTTTGCAATTTCTTTTCTTTTTCTTTCTCATTCTTCCTTTTTTAAAGGGTACAGAGTATGGACACCATTTAAACAGAAGAGAAAGAGTACCCGGTTTAATTCTTAAGAAAACTGCCAGGTAATCCAGCGATTGATTCTGGTGGTGGGATGTTTTTTTGATTTATCTTACAGTAGAAGACATTTACTCCATTGGTGGTAAAGCTACATATGAACACTATCATTTCAATATCTGAACTCAAAGTAAGAATGGCCACATTTGGGTTCAACGTTTGTGTTTCCACTGGGTTTTCTGAAAATGTGACTCTTATAATAATACACATGGTGGAAAAAACAAGTCACATCAGGCAGCACTACAGAGTCCCTGGGGCAAAGTCACTTTAGTGTGTGACATTCTGAACCTCAGTGGGCTGGGTATCAGCCACCACATTTTAATGATTTGAATGGAATCAACTCTGGCTCTAAGTGAATTAGTTTTACCTTTTACTTAGCCTTAGAGAAAACACCACTTTCATCATACACCCTTTCTAGGGTCATCTCAAATTCAAGCATTCAAGGTAAGGCTTCAACTTAACCTCCCCAGGCCTTCTGGCACATTGCTGGCCTCAAGGCCTGGCTGTATAGAAAGCCTGGCGCCACTGATACTTTACAAAGCTACAAACAATAAGCCACAGAAGCAGAGGTATGCAAAGCTTTGGTCATAATGGTCTGTACAAATGAAATAAGCAAACAAATGGCTAACAAGAAGTCCAATTGCTGCGACATTTATAATGAATAGAAAGGTTTACAAGGAAAAGCTTGCCAAAAACACTCCATTAAACCAAACCATTACTACATGAACCCTATCTTGAAACCACAACGGTAGCAACTACCTTATAAGGAGCTTGTTGGTGAGATTCAAAAACACACGTGGGGGACTGAGAAGGCAGCTTGGCACAAAAAGCTCACTCAATAAAGGATACCCATCATTGGGATTATTTTATCAGGTGCACGGTGATCATTCAACAGGTCACTGCCAGTGGATCATCATTCCACCCCACAACTTACCTTCCATCGATTGTAATTTATAGGCCTCAAAGATGCTACTTACATGAAAGAATGCTCAGTACAGTGATTAAAATTAGATAATCATTAGACTGTTTTGCGAGGGAAAAAAATAACATCACTTTTTTACCTCTTCATATCTGTCAAAAACTGCCCCTTCTTGCAAGAAAGATGGCACTTCCTTCTGCCAGTTAAATTCATAAGGTTTGGCCATGATGATATTCAAGACCTAGGGAAGAACAAATGTCTTATTAGTATACAGAATTGAAACGCAAGTGCTTGTCAAAGCCCAGACATTTTGTATTTATTTTCTTTAAATGTGTAGGAAAGGTCCATAAGTTATCTTCCTTCATATGCCTTCCCATCATCGGACTCCAACACTCCCTTTCCTTGTCTCTAACCCTGGAGCAACATTTCACATACTATGAGTGTCTGTAGAGAGAATGGTCCCATGGATCACCTCAGTAAGCACACACAGGAAGCCACTGTCAGCATGATACACCAAAAGACAATGTAGTGAGGGTAGGGTGTAACTCAACAGTATTATGTGCTTAGCCTGTCTGAGGCCCTGGGTTCATCCACTACAACCATAAACAGACAAATCAACTTCTTAATAAAAAGCATAGTGGTAAGGCAGAAGCAGTGGCACACACTTAGAATTTCAACTACTTGGTCAGCTGAGACAGGAGTTCAAGGCCATCCAGGGCAATGGAGTTCTTCCTGGCTACAGAGAAAAGGAAAAGAAAGGAGAAGGGATGGAAGGAACTCAAAGGGATATATACAATATATCACAAGGAGCCTTGGGGGATTGCCAGAATGTACATAAAGTGGCAAGGGATTTCTCAGTAGAGTTTCTGTGCTCTAGAATGTTCCAACTCATGCCAGCTATCCCTTGTATTTTTTTTTTTTACCTTTGTTTTCATTTGGAAAGGAATAGGAAACAAAGACATGACATAAAAGGTTCACATCAAACCTGAAAAGAGTTTCTAACCATCTTTGCTGTCTTTCACTAGTTTAAGCCTGATTCTCCCAGGATCGACATGAGTACCCAGACATAAGCACCCTGATTCTCTTCCTTCTCTACTGTTCTCACTACTGAAACATTCACCTCCCACTGAAGCGCTCATCCCATCCACATGGCCTTATTACATGAAGGCCTTTGGGGACTGAGGTAGCAGAGGGAACATTGGGACCAAAGGATACTGGCCTCTGGCTCTGCTTTCTCGGGAGAATATCAGCAACCGTTGGGAAGCAATTTCTGTTTTAAAATTTTCAGAGATATAGGGATCAGACCAAGGATGAGGCATTTTGGGAAAATGGCAGGAAAGTAACTTAAATTTGTTTGATTTTAAACTGTGGGGCAGCAGGGGAGGTGGTGCCATTCTTAGAAATACTTCCTAGGGCCAAACAATAGGAGCAGCAGCTGGCTTATTTTACACCACTAATACAATGAAGATGAGACCTAGCACTAGAAAATGTTGACCCAAGCAATTGATTTTTAAAATAAGAAGCAAAGAAAGGTATGTCTAACAATCCAACTGGGTGCAGAAAACCCCCCCAAAGGATGAATGGCTACCTTTTAAAGACATGAGGAAGGGACTGGCCATTACTCCCCTTTTGTAACCACCTCAAATTTCCCAGCTAAATGGTTACAGTCTGTTCCAAAAGTTCTTCCATGCAGATTCTCAGCTTGCCTTGGAAGTCTGCACCTACAAGGGATCTGAAGGTTTAACTACCTCCTTCTCCTCCTCCATCCAGCTACAAAGGCATTACCTCACTGCACAGGCCCCAAGGGAAAGGAAGCACCTGAGGAGGGTGGGGGTTTCAAGGGAAGGACTATCAAGGAGCTGACACAATGAGGCAGCCTTCCCAGTGTAAACACATAGAGCCGCTACTGGAAGGAAGCCAGTGAGCTTTACAGGGGCCCATTGTCTGCATTCTTACACAACTGGATGGATTGTTTTACACAGGCAGCCAAGGACAATCTCCCAAGACTTCAGAAAGCATGGAAGGGACAAGCTAGAAGGGGAGTCCTGGATGGGCCCACTTCATAAGAGATGGCAGAGAGCTCCTTCTAAACGACATGATGAGAAACTTGCTGATAGAGTACAAAGGGCCTGAGAGGGACTCCTGAGAAGCCAAATATTCAAGTACAGCAGACATGAAGATGGCCTGACACCATACAGCACAGCTGGGTAAACTGAGGAAGAAAGTTGTTTGCTTGTTTGTTTATTTGTCTTACTCTGTCAGCATCTTCATGTAAACCTATTGAATTGCTAACCTTACATTGTGATTTTAAAATGTGTCCCTTGGACAAAACGTCATCTTCGAGACTCACTAGACTTCTGTCTCCTAAAGTTGTCTGAAAAATCCATAGCTATGTTGAAAATTCTGCAGGCTAACAGGGTGATCAGGACTCCCTGACTGTAGAGTTGGAATGCTGCAGACGAAAGGCCAGATTTATCTTAGCCCATGTTGATGGCCAATCATCATCCAGCTCTTCATTTGACCTAACATCCTTGTGATTATTACAGCTACTATCTGCATACTATTATCTTTCATCAACTCCAAAGCTAAGAGTGCAATCAGAAAGCATCTGAACCCTTTAACAGCATTTTTCTTAGTTTGCTGTAACCTACCTAGCTGCTGTCGCCACCAATATATTTAGTAAATACATAGATTTATGACTGTCTTTTGTTCTGTGTCCATTGAAGTTCATACAAACACTTTGGGGGGTGCAATTCATGGCAAACAGAATTAATATTTCTAAGTCACTTATATTTGGTTGGTAATAAAGCACCTTTCATTCTTTATGGAGTGATTACTACATTTGGCATTGATATTGCTACCCCAAGTGTGCAGGATTAACTACAAAGAAAACACTACTCCCCACTCCAATGCCCTAGGCCAGCTCTGACCAAAATTTTGGCAAATAATATTTGTTATTGGGCATATACCTCAGTTTTAGGAATAGGATGGACAGAAGACAGTATGTAAAAATCAGGTGTATCCAAGGTACCTGGCTGGGATGGTGGGCTACATAGTCCACCCTCGCCAAGCACATTTACATACTAAGTGCAATGAATGTTATCTTACAGGGCAAAAAAGGACTTTGAAGATGTGATTAATTTGAAGATATTGAGCTGGATAGCTAGTTCTGAATCATTCTTGTGTGGGCTAAATACAATCAAAGTGTCATTATAAGAGGAACATTAGGCAGAGAGAGAAAAAGAAGCAATGTGACCATGAAGGCAGAGACTAGAGCAATGCAGCCACAAGTGAAGGAGTGTTGGAGGACACCAGAAGGTGAAAGAGGCCAGGAACGATTCTCCATAGAGTCTGGCGGAATGTGGCTCCCAGGACACCTTCATTTCAAACTTCTGTAAGAGAAACATTTCTGTTGCTTTCAGCTACTCATCTGTCATGATTCTTTACAGTGGCTGAGAAACACATGCACTGGCCTTCTGAAGCTGCACAGGGTTTCCAAAGGTCTGTCAGGTTGTAGAGGGAATGGGAATGCGGCGATTAATGAACATGGACAGCACTACTGTCGATGTTATTGGCAGTGTTTCTAGGGGCCAAGTTATCTTAACAGCTTTCTATGGAAACAATAAATAGAAAATTTAAATTGAGCTCCGTGGCTTCCCCCAAGCCAACTGAGACAGTTGTCATTTTGTATCTTCTGTTTGTGAACAAAACTGTACGTTTGCTTTGACTTGACAACTTAACAGTTTTTAATGGACAAAATATCGTCAGGTCCCAAAGAAACTGAGGAGAAATGGCTAACTGTGATGCCTATTACCATACCAACTGCATGTTGGAAACCAGGCTCACTCAATACCAGGCAATTCTCTGCTCTTCTCACCACCCCCAGGATCCCTGAACCCTGCCCTAAACCTCTCCATCCCAGGGGCTTCCCTTCCCTTCTCCCAGATTCTCTTTCCTATATAACCCTGCCAATTTGGCCATTTGGCCATGTGCTCTCTTGGTTCTATTCCACTTGGTTCTCTCTTCCCCACCCCACAAACACACAGACACACAGACACACACACACAGAGACACACACACACAGACAACACACACACACACACACACACTCCTCTTACTGCCCGGTTCAGTATGGAACCTTCCAGTTGCCTCTGGCTGTGCTCTCCCTCCTATCTACAATAAAAACCTCCTTGACTATACTTTGGAGCAGTCATATCCATTTTCATTCAAACACACCATGCTGCATATAGGAATTTTATTAACCCCAAAGTTAAAAGTTGTCTTTTAACTTTAACCTTGTGATTAAGACATTCCATGGGGAATGAATAACCTCATCCCCACGTTAACGATGCAAACTGAACAAAACCCAAATAACCCCTAAAACTCATGTTAAAAATATCTAAGCTTATTTTCCAAAGATGAGAAGTTGACATAGAATTTCCACTGACCAAAAGTGAGCTGACTGTTTGAATCTTTAAAAAGAACCTCTCATGTTTTTAAAACAGACTAAGGCACCAGACCATCCTGAACTCTCAAGTGCCTGGCTTTTCATCAAGCTGGAATCCAATTTGATACTGACATATCATTAATGATAATTTCCCTACTTGCCAAAAATATCTCCATCTTCATCAAGCCATTAAATAGCCTTTCAAAAAGCACACATGGAGTACAGGACTAAGAAAATGGTAATAACTAATGATGTTGAGAGTTGAGGGTAAGAGTATTCTAGAATACTTTGGGGACAAAGAATTTTACAATTTATTTCTGTGCCCTTGAAAGGTCCCAGTCACGGGTGGCAATTTCACCAGTAGGACTTATTCTAACTCAATGTATGCAAAGCCTGTGGACAAAGATACTATTGTGCCATTTAAGGTAGAAAAATATTGGCTGTCTACAATCCTATCCAAGCAATCGCTTAAATACACTACACATTTAGATACTCTTGTGCTTATTAAAAACAGGGCTGGAGAGGAGTGGTTGTTTGCTTAACAATGGCAAAGCAGAAGGGTTCCTAAAAATATTCACAGCTTTTGTCAAGCAAATATAAATACTCCTAACATGTTGTTAAGCAAATAAAAGAGCAAACATGATCCAAACTGTTTCCTGCTAGTGTAGTTTGGATGTTAAACACCTCTCAAAGGCTAGTGTGGTAGAAGCTTGGTCTCTAAGCTTCAGGAGGTAAACGGATCCCCAGGCCTCTGACCTCATGAATGGATTCATACTTTTGTAGATCCATAGCTT